TCGTTCATCCTGCGTCGGCGAGAGGCCTCTCTCGCCACCGGGTCGCTGCCGGCGCATCGCGTCTTTCCGGCGCTGTCATTGCCACCAAAGACGCGGCACTCCGTCAGCACGGCGGAGGAGGGGCTCGCGCGCCACAAGCCGCACGGCAGGATGAGGGAAGCGAGTGTGGTTTTGTCCGGGCAGGTAGCGTTCGTCGGGCAGGGCTTGCAGTATTCGGTCGGGTTGTGGAAGATGTCGTTCGGGTCGGCAGTCGAGGTCAGGAGGTAGAAGCCGTCCTTGCAAAACGAGCAGGTGGTGCTGCCGTTGGCCGAGCTGAGGGGGTGGGGGCACGGGATGCACAGGCCCTGGCCGGGGTTGGCGGCGTAATAGCCCACATCGCACTCATCGCATGAGTGGCTACCTGGGTTCGAGAAGGATCCCGCGGGGCAATTGGTGCACCCACTCTGCCCGGTCTCGTTGGCAAACGTCCCAGCACGGCAGCCACTGCACGTCTCGCTGTTGTTTGCGCCGGGTGTTGCGCTCGCGGTGCCGGCGGGGCAGAGCTCGCACGCGGCGCTCGAGTTGGAGCCTTTGGTCGGGTTGAAGCTGCCGGCGGGACAGGGCTCCCAGACCATGCGTGTGGCGGCGCCCGCCTCGTCGCAGTAGCCTCCGCTCGGACAAGGGTCGCAGGCGGCGAGGCCGACGTCGGGAGAGAAGCTTCCCGCGGGGCAGGTGAGGCAGTCCGATTGGCCTGCGAGGGGCTGATACTGGCCAGGAGCACACGGGATGCAAAACTCCTTTCGCGGCGCTCCAATGACGGGTGAGTATCGACCGGTAGGGCAGGGCTCGGGGTGCCCGGTCCCCGCCTCGCAAAAGTGGCCCCTGATGCACTGGCCGCTGCAGGTGGCGTCGGTGAGGCCGCTCGTGTTCCCATAGTAGCCAGCGAAACAAGGGTTGCACTCGGGGACGACGACGTCGCCCTTAAAGGCGCCCTCGCTCGGCATCCAGCTGCCCAAGCGGCAGTCCCAGAGTATCTCCGAGTTTGTCTGTATCGTCTTGTCGTCGCCAGCGGTGTTGCCGGTGAAGGAGGCGTCGCTGATCGAGGAGCGTTGATCGAGGGTTCGCAGGTGCACCACCGAGCCTGACCTCGCACTGTTGTCGATGAAGTCGACATCCGCGATGGAGAGGGACTCGCTGAACCTCGCGAAGACGACGCCGCCTTCCTGCGGTTGCGGGGTGAGGCAGCCGTGGCCCTCTCTATCTCTCGCCCCGCTGCCATGCGGCGCAGCATGGAGGCGGTTAGCTCTACGCGGCGCACATGGACAGCCGAGCAGCTCGTCACGGTCGAGCCGCTTATCGAGACCGCACCGCTGGTTGACGCCCAGACGACGCCCCCGTCCTGCGGTTGCGAGGAGAGAGCGGGTGAGGCAGCCGTGGCCCTCTCTATCTCTCTCGCCCCGCTTCTGTGCGGCGCTGCTGGAGGCGGCTAGCTCTACACGGCGAACCAAGTCAGCCGAGCAGCCCGTCACGTTCGAGCCGATTATCGAGACCGCACCGCTCTTAAACGCGAGGACGACGCCGCCGGGCCCCGACTGCGTTTGCGAGGAGAGAGCGGGGTGAGGCCAGCCGTGGCCCTCTACATCTCTCGCCCGCTGCCAAGCGGCGCTGCTGGAGTGTGGCTAGCTCTACGCGGCGCACAGAGACAGCATGGCAGTCCCTCACGGTCGACTCGATGATCTCGACGTCGCCTGCGCTCCTCGCCTCCACAACGCCGCCGCCGTTGCCTGCCCTCCCGTTGACAAGGGTCAGCCCCCGCAGGGTGAGGCTGCAGCCGCCCTCGAGGTAAAAGAGCCCGGTCTGTTCCTGGCCGTCGAGCGTCGCGCCCTCGCCGCTGCTCGCGACGGTCACCTTGATGTTGGAGAGACCATTTCGAATGCACCTGATCTGGCTGCCCAGCTTGAAGTGCGCACTGGGCGGCAGGTAGATTGAGATGTTGGCAACAGCCTCTTCGATCAGGGAGCGGAGCTCGGCCTCGCTCGCCGCGGCGACAAAGCCGGGGGCGATTGGCGGCAGCGGCGGCAGCAGTGGCAGCGACGGCAGCGACGGCGGTGGAATTTGATATTCAGCCGCAAGGAGAACTGCGCCCGTAGCTCCGCCGTAGCCCCCAACCACCACCCAGTACCGCTCGCCTTCGCTGAGCTGCAGCCCTGTGATGCGAGAGTAGAATCGGGGGCATCCGCGCAGTCCCTGCCCGTCGCCGTTGCATGCCACTTGCGTCAGCGCGTCGCAGCTTCCCGTGAAGACGGACAGGTCGGTGTCGAAGCTTGTGTCGGCCGCGCAGGTGTGTAGCTCGAGGGGTAACGTGCGCACGTCGGTGAGGCGCAGCCAGAAGACGTCGCCGAAAAACGGTGGGGAAAAGGACGTTCCTCGGCACTGAGAGCTGTTATATGCGCGGCTTGGACCCGGGCCAGCGTCGGTTGAGGCAATGTCGATGACGAAGGAGGCGGCACCCGCCCCATCGAAGGGCATGGCATTCTCGCAGGTACTGCCGGGTGGCGGCGTCGACGGCGGCGGGGACAGTGCACATGCCAGCGGGAGCAGCGCCACGAGAATCAGCCACGCACCGCGGCACGACACAGTGCGGCACCGCACGAGGCGCCCCGAGTTGCTCCGCCGCCCCGAGGCCGCACCGGAGCGCGGCGGCCACATCCACTCGCTCAGCAGCACGCCGAACGCTCCGAGCAGCAGCGGGAGGAATGAGGTGGCCCAAAACAGCTGCTGGGCGCGGTTCGGCGCGGGGAAGGGCAAGTCGTTGGAGAGCTCGTCGGCCAGCCGGTCTGCGGTTTTGTTGGGTTTGCGTGAGGCGGGCGTTTTGCGGGCGAGGTCGGTCTGGAGCACGATGTTGACGTCGGTGCGGTTGCGCGTGTCGATGATTGCCTCCCCGCGGCACGCCGATGGGCGAGCGGCAGCGTTCGAGGGCGTCGCGCGGCCGGCACAGACGAGCATGGCGGCGGCAGATTGAGGCGGAAATCAGCAAATAGCGGGCAGTGCTGATAAAAAGAATTTGAAAACATCAGGCGCACGACACTGGGCATCCCTCCCTTGGGTTGTCTGTTTTCTTTCTTTCTTTCTTTTACTGGGCACGGGACTGGCGCGCGCTGGCACTAACAAGGCGCAGACGACGGCTTCCTTAGAAGCCGTCGTCCTCGCCATAGAGGAAGTCGTCCGAAGGCGGATGATCGAATCCGCAAGGACCGTAGTGCTCGCCGAAACAACTCATCCCCCTCATCCAACTCCCACCGCTTCCGCTCCCGCCGCGCCCCCCGCTGGCGTCCCTGACGGGACTTCCCGCCCCCCCAGCCAGCGCCGCGCAGCAGCGCCACCAGGTCCTCGGTGAGCAGCAGATGCTGCCCAGCCCTCACCTGCTCCCGCCACGCCGCCGCTCCATCCTCGCCGCGACTAGTCCCAAAGCCCCTCCTGTCCCACTCCACCATGCACGCCTCGACGGCTCGTCGCGGTGGGCCAATCGGCGCTTGATGCGCGCTCCCACCTGGATGCGGTACTCGATGCTCTGTGGCTGCGCGCCAGACGCCGACGCCGACGCGCACGCACTTTTAGAGGAGCTCTTCTCCGTGTCGCACCACGCGCCACCGACCGACCCGCTCGCGAAGCGGTTTGGCTACATCCTCAAGCCGTGGCTGCTGCGCCGCTTCGTCCAGACCATCCGCCTGCCTCGCCGCGATGCAGTAATCATCATGGACTCGGATGGCTTCGTCGCGTGGGGCGGCGCCCGCCGCATGCCCGCCTTGCCGACGGCTACGGCTACGGCGACCGGTGGCTCGGCCAAATCTGCTCCGGTGATACGGCCGACATCTGTCCCAACATCACAGCCGCCGAGGCGCGGGCGCACTACGCGCTCGGCGTCCCGTACCTGCTCACTGTTCCCGCCTTTGGGGCAATCGCGCGCACTTGGATCTACTACATGAGGCGCGTGACGCAGCGGGTTTGGCCATCCATCCTGGCAGACCAGGTGGCTTCCGAGAGCCCTCCGACTGCCAAGCCCGCACCACATCTGCTCGCAAGATAGCCGATCGAGCCTCGCTAGGCACAGTCCAGACGCTAGCTGCCGCCACCGACGTTCGGACTTCCTGACACTCGCCCGCCTCCCCCCCACAGTACGCGTATGCGCTCGCGCCGCACTACGCCGGCTTGCAACACGCGCAACTAAAGGGCCTAATGGTCTCCGACCCCTCGGTGAGCGGGTCGCCGCGCCTGGCGGAGGGCTGGCAGACTCTCTTTGACCTGCTGCCGCACTCAGTGGCTTGCTCCAACCTCAGCGCCGCGACGGCGGCCGCCGGAGCGCGCGAGCCGCTCCCGATGTTTGTGCACGCGTGCCAGTGGGCCTCGACATGCGCCAACGGCCTCGACTGGCCCGCGTGCAACGCGTCGCCGCGGGCGGCGCAGTGGCACTTTCACAAGGCGAAGGGCCACGTGCCCAATGCGCATATGTCGTGCGGCTCGCCGCTGCTCCTGCCGCCGCCGGAGAACCTGTTTGACACGCAGGCGACCGCACGCGGCCGCAGGCACCCTACATCGTCTGCGCCATGACACCTTCAACGACGCCGCCCGGGCGAGCTGCGCGCGCACTGCGACCAAGAAGCGGCACTCGACTGTATTCGCATCACACGAGGCCAGGCCGCCAAGATGAACAAGACCAGGCGCGGGAATATCAAGTATGTTGACGAGTGCAGTACGGAATAGCATAAGCCATAGTAAGGGCCTATACCACGTACGCGGCTTTTACCACGCGAGCTGCGGCCGTGCCGCCGTCATAGCGGCGAGGCGCGGGACCGTCTGTGTCGCGTGTTCCGATGTCCTCAACTCAAGGTCCTTCCCCTCATAGCCGTACCAGTAAATGGCCACATCGCACTGCGCACACCCACACGCTCGACGCTGGCGGTCTCGGGTCATCAAAGCTGGCGCAGCGACCCAGCCGACAGCACAGGATCCGCGCTCGCGCGTTAGGCGTTTTTGGGTGTTTCTTCGTTTCGTGCCAGCCGGTTTTGCTCGGGAGTCTTCTCTCGTCTCTCGACAAAAAGCCGCGGCTCGAGAGCTCCCTCCGGATCGCTCGCTCCCGAGTTGACCTTGTCACCTTTCGCTATCCGATCTAGAAAATCACTCGTCCACCTCCACCAGAACGGGCTCGCTGACCTCCCACCACCACTCCCCAGCCTCCCCACGCCGCACCGGGACCATCCCGAGGACCGCGGGCGTGTGCTCCCCCTCAATGGGAACGGCGCGAAAGGAGAAACGGCAGTCCTCCTCCCTCAGCTTCTTGTGCATGCAGTACTGCTGCTTCAGCTTTCTGAACTTGGTCCTCATATTCAGGTTGAAGTGCATACCGACCGCATCGCCGGTGCGCCGCGCCCACAGGGAAAATTTCCCGTTCGCCGGCAACACTACTGTTGCTGGCGCCGCTGCCGGCGCCGCCGCTTCTGCCGGCGCCGGCGCCGCTGCCGGCGCCGCTGCCGGCGCCGCTGCCGGCGTCGCTGCCGCCGCCGCCCCAGCCGACGAGGCTGCCCTCTCCGCGCCGCTAGTGGCGGCCTCTACCGGCGTCGAGCGCCGCTGTCGCTTTGGGGCGGATCGAGCAGCCTCCTCCTCGGCGGCCGAAGGCTCCTCCTCCTCCTCGGCCGCCGCCGCCGCCGCCGCCGCCGCCTCGGTGGCTGACTCGGAGGTGGAGGCGGCAGACAGCCCCGGCGGGGGGGTCTGCACCTCTTCGTCCTCGTCCTCGTCCTCGTCTTCGTCCTCGTCCGCCGCCGCCTCCTCCTCCGCCTCCTCCTCCGCCGCCTCCTCCTCCTCTGTGGTGTCGTCGCCGTCCTCGATGCACGCCTCCACCTCCGCCTCGTCCTCGCCCTGCCCTCCGGTGCTTGGAGGGGCAACCTCCGCCGCCACCAGCCTGCGCGGGCGGGGCGGGCGGGCGGGTGCAGGGCGGCGGGCGGCGGCGGTGGCGGAAGCGGTGGGGGCGGCGGTGGCGGCGGCGGTTGTGGTGGCAGGGGTGGCGAGGGTGGCGGGGCGGGAATGGGCGGGTCTCGTGATTCGGCGCCGGCGGCGAGGATGGCAGGAGGCGCGGGGGGGGGGGGGGGGGGTGCATTCCCCGGGACCTGTCCCCCATTTTCCCCCGGATGGCCCCCTCCCTGGGCCTCACCACCCGGGCGGGCGGGTCCGTGGGCACCTGGGGGTAAAGGAGAGGGGAGGGTTAAGGTTTGGGTTAGGGTATGGGAAAAGGGAGGGGACCCGGCGTCTTTTTGGGGAACTTTTCCAAAAGAAACTGGGAAGGAGGGGGCCGCCAAGGCCAAGGCCAAGGCCAAAGTTAAGGCGAAGGCAAACGCGAGCCCCAGCGCGAAAACGATAGGGGGGGGAGTCTCTCCGAAGGGTTCGAAAAGCGTTGGGCCTGGACCCACGAATTGGGGTTGGCGCCGTCCCAATTGCCGGTTACATACTTTAACAGGGAATGGGGGCCGGGGG